GGGCCCGAAATATCGGGCCCTAATGGCGCCTGAACAATCCCGTACTCGAAACCCAATATCCCTCTCCAACCCATCTCTCCTCTCTCTTTCTCTCTCTTTCTCAATCGTAAAGTTAGAATCTTTACCTACATATACTGATAGAAAAAGATGATACACACAAAGTGGCGGTGGAGTTATGGGACCGGGTATGAAGAGAAATTGAATTCCACTTCCGGAAATAATTGAACAAGTGGGCCATGGCGGAAAAAGATGAGTGATTTGTCCGGAGACTGGCTTTTTCCGCCGCCGACTAGCGCGTCACCGATTCTTCCCAAAGACTTCTCCTTGGGGCAAAGTCACAGACTCAGGCGAGTCTGTTAGAGAGATGAATAATCGTCATTCGTGGCTAGCAACTTCACCAAAAGGTCCAAAACGCTAGTGACGATTGAGTTGTGGAAGGGGACGAGAATTCTGTCTTAAATGAGAATGAGAATGAAAAACGGTACATTGCCAACTTAGGGGTGTATTAATTTTTTATTTTAAAAGACTTTTTTAGGATTTTATAAGGTTAATTCCAGGAAAAATCCTGACTTTTGCTTAAATTGCAAATAAAATTCTACCTTTTTAATTTGACAAGAAAATATCAAAATTTTTATAATTTTTGTAATTGTGTCTTGAAGTCACATTCCGGCCAAATGACGCTGACATGGCATGTCGTTAAATTGACGTGGCACCGGTTTTGTGACGTGGCAATCAAGGAAATACACCTGGAGAAAAAAAAAAATCAAACATATAAATAAACTATCAACATAGATCGATTAATATGAATCAGAAAAAAAAAGGAAGAAAATGGGCAGCCCCTGCCTCGATTTTGTTCGCAAAATGAAGCAACAAAATGAGAAGAAGATGAAGCAAAAATACCCGTTCTCCATTTACGGCGAGAAGCTGCTTAAGAGGGTCGTCGGCCGCCGCTGGTCGGAAAAGAAATCGACGGGACGACTGTGATGAACTCGGCGACGCTGAATAAAGCCTGCAGATTTCTGCTGCTAATAAAAGGAACCGACGGAGGGTTGCTATGAGGGGAACGGACGGCTGCCCTCAAGTTCGCCGGCGACCGGTGACTGGAACAAGCGTGACGGCAGACTGAACCTTGCTACTCGGTCGGCTACTGATTTCTCGTCGATGGAGGAAGATAAGGGACATGATTATGGAGGCAATGGAATCTGGGATTTGCTACTTGCTGAGAGGAGTCGCGCTTCTAAGGAGAAGGATGAAGACGATTGATGGCCGCGATATTGAGGGTTTCTGAAATTGGGCGAGATTGATCGTAGAAGGATGGGATTTCTGACTCTGCTATGTCGGCTGAAAGAAAATTATTGGGGTCAAAATTGCAAGGGACGTGTCACTGACGTGGCTATCTTACTTGGAAGGGACTAAGATGATTTGTCACCGAGTATTGGCCATGTCAGTTTTCCGATCTGCCACGTCATCATGTATTGGCCAGAATGTAACTTCGAGACAAAATTGCAAAAATTATAAAAAGTTTGGTATTTTTTTGTCAAATTAAAAAGGTGGAGTTTTATTTGCAATTTAAGCAAATGTCAGGATTTTTCCTGCAATTAACCCTTTATAGAATGAGATTTTATGGGATTTTATCAGTTTTTATGGATTTTGTAGAATTTATTAGAAATTCCTAGAAGTGACATGTAGTATTGTACAGGACTTTTACAGATTTCTTAGGACTTTTCAAGAGTTTTGTAGACTTTTATTATAGATTGAATAAACATCAACATTAATATATAAATATACCAGTGTGAGAACTTGTGACAATATTTATACATGAAAGAAAATAGAAATCATTTTGAAAATGAGAAATGTGAATTATCTATTTAATTGTTTGCTTATTTATCGTTTTGTACAAAAATTGTCAAATTTGTTATAATTTTTATTTTATTCAATAAACCACATAATCTCAAAGACATACAATAATTATATTTTTTATTTCACTTATAATTTTTTTTATTCTATCAAAATCAACCACATAATCTCAAGAAATAATTTTAATTTTGACTGACAACAATAATGACAATTATGTTTGGAACACATATTTGGCGATATTATATATGATCGTTCTATAAAATTGTGTGGAAAATTATAATATTGAAAAATATAAAGTAAAAAAATCAAATAAGGTGCAAATCTGATGAACACTAAAGTTGCGTCTCATACAATTTCATATAAAATAAAAATAATAAGCAAGTCCAATTTCTACTTTACAGCGTCGTTCCACATTTCATTTGCTATTGCATCCCTCCATGCATTAGCGGTCGCTTTTTGTTGTGCTTGACTTTCAAAAAATGGACCAAACTTAATATCTCCTTCGGTTATTGGACAAGATTGACCTATTTCTTGTTCAGGTTATTCTGGAAATTCATCAGAGCGACATTCTTTTCGTAAAACGTTATGTAACCCTGCACATGCTAATACCAACTCCTCTTGCGTATGAAACTGGAAATGGAGGTGGCGATTTGAAAATCACAAACCTTGATTTGAATATACCAAATATCCTCTCAACTACATTCCTTAATGAAGAATGCCTGAGATTAAATAGTTCCTTGGCATCGCTTAGGTCACGACCTTGACCTGTAAAATCATTAAGATGGTAGCGAGTCCCTCGATATGGAGTAAGAAACTGTCGTCTATTTGGATATCCACAATCGGCCAATAAATACTTTCCTGCAAATAAAATATATAATTATCTCATGCTTGTGACAATTAATAACAATGTATTAAAGAAATATGAAATGAAAGTATAATGCATAAATAAAGTATTTGATTCAATATAAATGATCGTTAAGGTGATATTACATTATGTATGGGGAAACTCGTGTGTCAGGCAGGGCTACAAAATTCAAAATGTTAAAACTTAAGCAAATTATTTAGTTTGCTAGTTGTTAGTGTTGCTATTACCCCTTTGGGGTCGTGGTCGAGTCGTTGGTCTGTTTAGTTTGAGTTTTTATTCTAGCGTTGCTAGCGGGATTCTA